GTGGGGACACAGTGACCTCAACCTTTGACCTTTGACCACAAAAATCTAATCCATTAATCCTCCAGTTCAAATGGACATTTGTGCCTGATGTAATGAAAGCGTTGCTGAGTGATCGCATTCAGAAGAATGAGTTGGACCAATGCACGGACAACCAAAACACTTGAAAGAACAAAAGGGTTTAGGTGTTTTGTCATAATAAACCTGTGGATTCGTTTGTAACAAATTTTTTAAAAAATACCTCAATGATTTCCTGAGACATCATGTTCATAACAGATCAGACGGAAAATCCAAAAACATCCTGAGATATGAAATAGTCTTAATTGCAACACTGTTTCTGAGTTGGGTTTCACTGTCAAACAGCAAAAGCTGACAATTGATTGAACCTGTCAGAGGTATCAGTGCAGGAGTGTGTGGGTAAAAAATGCTTCATTCCACTGCAGGGACTTTATAAAGAATCCCCAAACTGTTCACAGTGTCCTCAACTTCTAATCAGATGCTTCTCATTCTGAGTTGTTTTGAATTTAAAATCGTTCAGTTTTGTGTGGGGAATTTATGCATCAGTTCTGTTGTTCATGCATCAATGAGTAAACAACAGTGAACCTGTATGCGTGCACATGGGTTGTTGGACACCTAAAAAAAATGTTAATGACGTTCACTTGGTGTGTTCGTTTACCAGAAGCTTTTAACACTTGAGGCCCAGACAGCTGCAGTCTAAATGATAAAGAATCCAATGCTTATAAGCAGAGATTATTACTTGTATGACACTAAGTGGAAACGAATGATGAGATTCAGACAAAAAAATAAACATTTGTGCATCGACTGTGAAACATTCGATTTTCAAGCACAGGCCTCAGCACCATACTTAGTCAGTTGCACATCATTTGTTCATTGTGTTGCAAGCAGAACCAACTATTCTCCTTTCATTCATTCTCAAGCTATCACTGTCACACATCAGATAAGCAGTGATAACGAAACACAGATGTTTGTTTTGCTTTTATACATCTGCATAAATGATGTGCAAAGGAATGAGCTCATAGGGTGTGAACATATTATGTCTGTACAAACAGGCACCGCCAAACTGAAGTGGTTTTATTCATTTTCTCGTACAAACCGTGGAGGTGCAGTGTTTGGTCTTATTTCACTCATGTGTTTCATTAGATCGTAGACGATATAAAAAGATGGACGAAATGACAGCTCCCAAAAGTATTGCCAAAACCTTTTACGTAGTTCTTACGTCACTGACGCGTGTTCGTGCTTCTGATAAATTTGGATATGATAAGTAAAGACATGATTGACAGCTGAGACTGACTTGTGATTGTTTGAGGGTGTAGATGGGTGGGACCTCGGTACAATGGCTCCATCTGGGATATCTAGGCTTCATTTTTGAGGGGAAGTGGAAACATGTCATCCATCTGTATTAACTGTCTATGTGTAAGACGCTCTACTGGAATTATCCGAGTAAAATGTGCTGGTATAATCACAGCAGCCATTTAGACTTCAAATAATGAGTAACTAAGTAGTTAATACACAAGTTTAGTAAACAGACTTTAGTTAGGACAAAGCTGAACAACATGACGTCTGTGTAAAAGCTTATCTGGGGAATATACTACACAGCAGTGTCAATGTGCAGCCCAACAGGATAAACCTGGTGAGCTTGACTCAAACAATCACTTCACTCTGTGTCACTCAGTGCTGTTCCTTATGCTCCGATTCTACTGTGTTTGCCACACGAGTTGAGTCAGAGATTTACTGTCAGGTGCCCCAGTCAGCTGTGCACAGCTGGGGTGGTTCTGCATCATCGTGAATATAAATGAACCTCATGGAATGTCCAGCTGAACGTAAGAGAAACACTGGAGGTTACAGATCCTGATCAGTGTGCTGACATGAAAGCAATACCTTATAATCATACTCACTAATCATTAAGTCCACATAATGGACGGTTCCCACAATGCATAGTGAAAAGCAGTGCATATCCAGTGGTCACTAACTGACCATCATAAAGACAGACAGGTTTCTATTTGCCTGCATTCTCACAGACCTATTAGTTTGTTCTAGTTTTGTGTGAGCATACCTCCCTAATATCTCAGATGGCATCGTTTGTTTTTTTATGACTGGTACAAGACAAATGTGAGCTGAGGTGGTAAAGTAATAAGAGCAGAGCAGCACATCACAGCACTAAACTGTGGCAAACAAGTTGTTTTCTACATTTTAACATTCAATGTCATTCAATTTACTTTTTAACTAAAAGTATTTAGTGTAAAGTGTGAATTGAACATTTCAAATTTGTTATGGGTTTTTCCAAGTTGCAGTTGTTTTACGTCATAATTCAGTGATAATGACATAATTAACAACTAGAGATATAATGTTTCTTCTCGTATCACAAGGTCTCAGAATGGCTCATTTCAGACTCAGCCTCTGTATGGTGTGTTTCACATTATGTCTCTGTCTATAATCACACAGCATCATGCCGGCTCTGTTTGGCTCAGTGTAAACAAGCAGAGCTGGTATAATGAGGGGTCTTCTATTCGATATATAATAAACCAGACTCTGTTTAAAGAGAATTATATCACAACACTGAGGCAGCATTACTGTATCATTTCAACAGTGAACATTTTCACTTGTCATGGTAATGCAATGGCTCCGTTCTATTCACATGCAGTAAGACATCAACACAGTGAGCCAGCCCACACCACGAGCCTGAAGCCGGAGCAGCAAAATGCAGTCAAGCCATAATTCATTTGACCTGTGCTTTTAATACTTTTTATTCAAATGTCTTTTTAAAAAAAAAGAAATACCCGAGCAACGCTGGCATCCTCAACAGTGTACAACAGATACTTATACATACATAAAATATTAGATACTTTAATTCTACCTGTTCCATATCTCTGACATATCTCTGTTTTTTAGTATATCAAAGGTTTTTAATCCAAAATGATGCATTATAATAAACACATTTATTAGTGTTAAAAGAGTAATGAAAATGGAATGTGAACCATAGTGTTGACAGAGAACAACAGTTTTTAAAAAGAAATAAATTGTGAAAATATAGATTATATCTATTGATTATATTTATGAATATATTTAATTAGGCCTAGTTTTGATTACCAAAATTACAATTTGGGTATTTGGTATCATATGTTATAGTAACAAAAAATGTGTGGGTTGAGTTTTGCAGTGAAAGAATATGATATTATTTAATAACCACATTTATGACCTCAGTAAAATTCTTTTTGTCCTTGTCCTTGTTTAGGTGTTTGTTAGACACGTTGTTTCTGACCACTTCAGTACAAATACACTGTCTCTCTCGTCTCTCCAGTATTTCAATGCTGAATTAACTGGACACACAGAGCTTCCACATTAAGCCATAAAGCAGGGTGCTCCTCATCAGATGATGTGCTGTAGTGGTGACTTACAAATTATTTCTCATACACCTACCAACATTAATTATGTTAATATAATAATATACAAGAATTACTTCTGTTGTGTTACTTGATGTTCCTGGTCATGTCTGTGTTGCTGTGGTCCTGTGGGGGACTTTCTATTTCAGAGTCCATTCAACATTGGTTTTGAATACAAGAAAGGATTTGGAGCATGTGCTGACACCTCTGTGTGCCTCAGTAATTCTGAGGAAAATAACAGAGATCTCCTAACAATGTAATCAGCATGAATGCTCCGGCCATAGGTCCTGGCTGCTCGAGGGGAGGCTTCACCATATGGAGCGTTTTAGATTGTCAGGTCCAAATGTTCCACAGGCGCGTGTAGTCTAATTACCAGTGAATGTGGAGTTGAAGCGAAGGTTAAACCAGCGTCAACATCTCGAGCGCCTTCAGCATCAGCAAGATTTCCTCACCGCAGAGAGAGACATGCTGCTGGGTGTCCACTCTACCTCCATCATCATCATCTTCATCCTATTTGGAAAAAAGTTCGGAAATCACTCCACACTTGAAATAATGTAATATAAAATAATTCATAATTATTAGTTTCCAAATGTGGGCTTTTTAAAATCAGTGGGTAACATGAGGACAATCACCTGTAGCTGAATGAGATCAAATCTCAGTGTTGTCCTCGTCAAGTGATGTATACAGGCTACAGATAATGTGATGATGATTCATGAGTTAATCCTGCAGTTCTGGAAAATGGTCAAATACGTTTCAAAAATCGAGAACAACCCTCGAACAAATTCTATCATCATTCAGACTCTTAATCAGATGAGCAGCCTCGGGCTCAGCTTCTCACTTTTCATTTGAACTGGTTCAAAACCAATCTCGTTTCTGGAGGACGTTAAACTACGTAGATCTGTGCGTCATGCAGGTGATCACCTATAAATAAAACCGCTCAGGCTGAAACGAAATGAGTCCTGGATTCAGATCAGAGGCCTGTGTCTCCACAAAAATACAATTCATGTATTAATTCATTTCGTGAATTAATTAATATATGACTTAAACATTCTTTACATTAGATGTTAGAATGTGCTGGTGAAATCTACGTGTATGGACCAAATATAAAAACACTTCACTGTCAATAAGTCTAAACCAAATATTAAGATAACATGAACAATTTTGAAAATCATATAAATTGAAAGTAGGCCATATTAGTATTTGTGGATAGGGTAATATGTGAGCCGAATGAAAGAGAACTACCTACAGATAGATACATTCTCTTCAGGTAATCTTAACTAAACCGCTTTTTTTTGTTTTTATGTAATAATCGTTTAAAAATGGACATATTTTAAAGGAGGTCTGTGTATTATCTGGAACAGGGGGGCGCAGGTTCCGAGTGGATTTTTCGATCCTCTCTGGGCCGGAGGTGAACATCTCCCCCAGCCAATCCCCGTTCGTCATGCGCGGCGTCATTAGCGAGGATGGCCAATGGATATGCGAACAGGCTATCCAGTCGTCCAATAGGAGCGGAGGTGCCTGCGGTGGGCGGGTCTCCGAGCCTCCGCCGCTGAGGAGACCCAGGATCCATAAAGTCACATCGGATGGAGGATCTGCGAGTGCCCGGGGGTTCACGCACTATTCTCGGACACATTTGTGAACTGTCGGTTGCATCTGCACTCAGGTAAGAGGACATCATGTAAAGGCTCTTAATTAAATATAACTTTATATACATTTATATATACAGCCTCTCATTTTCTGTGTGAAGATTCAAACAAGTGTCTGTATGAGTTTGTGGTTAGCTAGCTTCTCTGTGTGATGTGCGACCCTCATCACGGTGTGAATAAAGCCCCGAGTGATGTCTTCTCATCCCGGTTCCTCCGCAGCTCCCCTCGCCGAGGCTATGGTGGAGCTCGGCGTGTGCTGACACCTCCGATGGGCTGAGCGCAGCGACGCTTCGCTCCTCGCACCTCCAGGAATTAGACGCGTCCTGCTCGGGAACACCTGGGAGACATGGGAGAGCGTTCACCCCGCGGACTTTAGGCCGAGCAGGAGGGAGCAACTCCGGGTCCGTGTGCGCAGGAGAACCCGCTATGAGACACCCGGACGGGGAGTGACAGAGGACAGGTCAGGCCCAGTCTGTGAACCCGAGGAGACGCCATGAAGGAGAAATCTAAAAATGCCGCCCGGACCCGACGGGAAAAGGAGAATAGTGAATTTTATGAACTGGCCAAACTGTTGCCGCTTCCCTCCGCCATCACCTCCCAGCTGGACAAGGCCTCCATCATCAGACTCACCACCAGCTACCTGAAGATGAGGATAGTCTTTCCTGAAGGTAACAGCGGAGTGTGAACTCCATGTTTTAAATAGATCACATATTTATATACAATGATGTGACTGTTATAATTAGCAGTAGGTGTCTGGATTTAAAGAAGCTTAAGAGGAGCAGCCTAATATTCCAGATTGTTGGTTCTCCGCGTGGGTTTTATGCTTCTTTTTATTATCTTATATTATAAATGTATATGTTTGAATACACGTGATATAATGTTACATGTATATTTATAGCATATATATTTTAAATGATTAATTTAGCAGTATCTGTTTTTTTTTGGTAACTTAACTAAATATAGGTTATGTATAAATTGACAGGCCTATATTAGTTAAGTGAGATTTAAAAATATATATATATTTCCACCTATTACCTCATATAATTATAATTATAGTGAATCAATATAAATTAATGCAGCTTACTTTTGAATACTAGATGTTATAGTTATTTAATACTGTGCTGTATTAATCTGCCTTTATTGCGTAATCTACCATTAAGATATATTTCACTAGAGTTTCGGTAAAATCCGTGGCATGGCAGCGACAACTAAAATACTTTTACAGATAATAATAGGGACGATGATCGGAGAAATGAATATTCTCGTTCCCTGCTTGTACGGAGACAGCAGCAGAAGTCTCCTGTGTCCAGCCCGCAGTGATGCGCTGTCTCTCCGGGGCCCCTGGCGGCCCCTGGCAGCAGATTATCCGTGATGAGGCTCCATCCTGCGACTGCTGCAGAGCCGCTACACATTAGTATGATGTGCACATCTGATCCCTCAGAGTGAGGATGGAGCAGGTTGTGTGGAGGGGAAGAGGGACGACGACAAAGAAGCATAGGGAGAAAACAAAGGGAACATGAACACTGGATCATCCGTGTTTGTGACACTGAGAGGGCCACATATAACGGCATATAGATTATTTACATCAATCACACACTAAACACTTGCAACATTTAAATCATACGGTTGAACATACATATTTTTTTTGTTCCTTGTTTTGAGCAGTGATAAAAACATTATTGTCAGATGTGACCTTTAATTATTTCTCTAATACTACACAATCACTTCATCACATTTAATTTATAACAAAGACATTACATGAAAAATGATCCAAATATAATTCTGCAGGATCCATGCCAACAACTGAGTTGTAACCTATTATAGGTTAGGATGTGAGCCATATGATTAATTTAAAAATGTATTTAAAAATCAGCTATAAATATTGTTACACAAGCATTCCAGTCAATCAGCTCTAAATTGACCTTTTTATTCCGGTAACATGGATCCCATAATATTGAGAGATTCTTATAAATGTGACATTCAACCTTATGTAACTTAAAATACAATGAAAGAAACATCCGATTGAATCACAGATTTTGTGCAGCATGAATTTGACGTGATGACAATCCTGGGGCTCACACAGCTCAGTCTTCCCTCAGTGGGAACATTTGTAGATTTAGTGATAATGCTCTTTTGCATCTTGCTCCAGAATCCATTATATGCTGCAGTCGGTGCTCCTGTAATATAGCAGACAACTGTATTTTGCATGACTAACACTAAGAACAGTGATGAGCTCTGCTCTCAGGGACTGTCTGGCTCAGTTCTCACACACCACTCATCTACATACTGCATTTCTTGCTTGACTGCGAGATGTCTGGATGTCACACTGTGCTGTTTCACATTTGTGGCGACATAAGCATGCAGGCAAAGCCCTCTGAATAATTTAAAGGATAATGGTGCTGGTGCAGCCTGCCGGGTTTTACACGTCCTCTACAGGCTGTGTTGGGTTTTCTCCATTAAATCTCCTCAGCTGCATAAAAAGGCTGCAGCACCTCTTCACTCACCTTTTTACTCCAAGCACACACACAGGCCCTCCACCAAGAGCCACGTGTGATGATTCAGTCTGAGAGAGATTTAGTTGTTTTGTGTAAGTGAGGAGGAGAAAAGGTCTTTTATGCCATGAGGTGCACTAAAGCATCTTTTCTTTTTGATTCTGTGATTTTAATGTGTGTGTCAGTGTGAGTGAGAGGTGGGGTGGTGGTGAAGGGAGGCAGGACCTTTGACCTCCGCCATGTTGGCCATCCTGGGTGAAATTACATGACATTTCACACCACATATATCTTAGTAAATGCTCTCCACCACAGCCAGTAAAACAGATAATTATATTCACTTTATATTTGTGACATTTTATTTCTATTTATGTCTTGCTTGATAACCAACGTGACCAGTCTATTATATGTTATTACAGTTTCATTGGAATAATTACTAAGTGAAATAATTGCACTGAGGATCAAGGTTAGATATGTTCAATGTTAAAATCATGTGTGATTTGTTTTTGCAGCGTTTTTGTGATGATGAAATCACACATGGAGGTTTTTTCTCTCAGTGATGCAGTTACTGTTAAAACACACTTTTTCAATAGATAAAGTCCTGCATGCTGCCACAGCACTATGTTGAACCTCAAAATAATAATAATTACAACAACAATTATAACAATAATAACACCAACAATTATAATGATACTACTTATTATAATAATGATTATTAGTAGTACAAGTATTATTATTACATACGTTATAAAGTTGAAGGATTTATCATTGTGACAAAAACAAACCATTCACCACGAATGGAACATTTATTTTGAATTCCCTCAAGGTGAGTTTGCTTCATTAAATGTATTCTTTTATTTATCTGTTAATTTCGTTAAACGTGCGATTTATTTGTTTGAATATTTAATGATAATATGAAAAAAACATTTTATAATTAAATAAGTAAAACAAAAACTAAACTAAAAGTAAGAAAACATTCAGAATATTTTCTTATCTGAGGGTCGCGCGTCAGAATAAATCACATGATCGAAGAGGAGAGAGAGAAAAGGTAAATAAAAAAGTCATGTTACTTTTACTTTAAACCTTGTCAAACCTAATGTGCTTTTCTTTTGAGCAGGTCACATCCACACCGTGACAATAATGCGCCGGGTCACGAATACACATGAAGGTTTTTTAAGAGTTAAAGGGAAAAGGTTCAAACCACCGCTCTGATCATTTGTAATAATAACGATACTACATATAAATCCATGCTGGAGCTGGCTGGTTGTATCACGAGCCCATGAATAAATCAATAAATGAGCTGCTCACTTGAGGAGCTGTGATCCACTCTGTGTACCAATCTTATACTGTATCAGCAGTATTTGATTTTATTAGCGTGTCATGTCTGCATTGGAGACACATTCGGTGCTTTCATTCGTTTCCTGCAGCATGAGATCAGCATGATTTCAGACATCAGGGTTTTTAAATCAATTTCGTTTTGTCAGTATCATAATTATTATTTTTTTGACATAGGCCTGTGATAACAAACTGAAGCATGCACGGATTCCAGCAGCGACAGCAGATATCTATCTAACAACAACGACAACAATAATAATAATAGTAATAATAATAGTAATAACTGAAGGGTAGCGGTCTCCTGCAGTGTAATCGATCTTTAATCACCTAAACAGCACATTTATCTGTTTTCTGGTTCCTGCTTCAAATCGATCGGTTCGTGATGGGATTAGTTGAGGCTGTCACTCTGCTGCATGCTTTGAACATTTATCTTTAAACTTATATATGTGCGATATAAAAACGAAAGACATGATTTTGCATAATGTTGTGTGTTTGATGGGGACGGTGTGTGATGTCTGAGGCTGCGGCCCGCTGCGCTGTGTGCACGCTGCCTGTTTGCTCTGCAGAGCGGGATTTACATGTCAATGTGCTGCTGCTGCTGCTGCTGCTGCTGCTGCTGCTCCTGCTGCTTCACACCACATGTTAGTTTTGCTACCGTTAAGTGTTTGTGAAAATGTTCACGCTACAACATTTGCAACGATCCGGTTCGGTAGTGCGCTCCAAGTCTATTTTTAGGTGTGGTGTATTTTCGGAGCTGCAGACCTGTGATGGTCAGTGCTGCTGGCTGTCCTCATTGTAAACCTGTGGGGCCTGTTTAGTTTCCCACGCAGACACTATGAATAGTTTTTTCAAGCATATATTTTTATTAGTGTCTGGATGTAGGTGATATTTCTTTTTTCCCTCACCAGGCACAGTTAAATGTTGTGTGTACAGTCTTAAAATGAATTCACTTATTGTTAACTGAAGGATAAAGGAGTAAAATTGTCAAAATCAAAGCAGCTGTGACTATTATTTATTCACTATAATTAAATCTTCAGCCGAAGTGATAAAATATATACAGCAATTATGATCTATGATTATTAACAGCAGACATTATATGAGCTATATTGTACAGTTAGATCATGGTTACCATAGTTTTTGATTCAAAATTTGGATTCCCCTGTTTTTCCCCCTGTAAAATAAGAACTACGTTTTCTTGTGATCTAATGCTTCCTGTTTGTTTGTGATGTGTTTGCCAGGCCTCGGGGAGTCCTGGGGTCACGTGAGTCGTAGTTCTCTGGATGGAGTCAGCCAGGAATTAGGCTCCCATCTCTTACAGGTACTTACTGCTCTACTCTGAGAATTGACACTCAAAAAAGACACAGCAGAAAGAAAAAAAAACATTGACAGTTACGATGTCACATAAAAGGCTCTTAATTGTTCATTAGAATTATACAAAAATCCCCCTAACAAGACATTTTTTATTTCAGCCATATAGGCTGTGTTTGTGTGATTCAGTGGCTGCTGCCATCTGCCTCCTGTTGCCTTCATTCTTGTGAAGAGTGAAATGAGCTGAACACATTCATGGTCACGCACAGAGCCTCAGTCTGTCCTGCAGCCGCTCTCACATCAGCAACAACACAATGGAGCGGGGCTGCAGTGCTACAGGCCAAACACAGCCACAGAGCTACAGGCTGAAGCCAGGAACAAGCAGAGGGTGGCCAGTGCCAGTCTTGTTACCCGATCAGGGCTACAGGACTGTCAGAGTCACAGGGCCGTAAGCTGTCTAATTGGTCTACAGAATATCCAAACATGGCAACAAGATGGCCTCATTTTATAATGACACTGTAGGCTTGCTGTGAAGTGGCTACATGCTAGCCAGAGCTGCTAGCTATGGAAATAGGCTGTTCAATAAATGAGTGCTTTAGAGGTACAGATTATTATTATTATGAGTTTCTCATTCAATATGAAAGCAGAACGGTACTTAGAGTTCATACCCCCACCACAGTTCCTTTATGAAACCACATTTAAATTCACAACCCGATTTTTATTTGGATCTTCATCAAATCCCTGACACACATAAATATCAGTCGTCTAAACATGTCACATTTTTTTCTTTTATCAAGATCCATGAATTATTCTGTGAAAAAGCCACAAAAGTTGAAAAACGACACAATGCTAGTTTAATGAGTTCCTCCCTAATCCATACCACATCCTTAAACAAAGTTTTGTGGAAATACTTCCAGCAGTTTTTACGTAATCCTGCCAACTAACAGACAAACAAAACCTCTGTGGCTGAGGTTATAATATAATAAAATATAATAGAAAAGTTCTCATTTTCTTAAATGTAATTGTAGACTACACTAATAAATACATATATACATTTTACCCCAATGAAGATGATATATTTTGCATATATATATGTGTGTGTGTGTGTGTGCATTGTTTTATATTGTTGTATTGTTTTACTGATAGAAATGGGGTGGATAAAATATTAATAACATATCTCAGTGTAACAGCAGCACAGACTGCAGCTACTGAAATTAGTTTAAAACAAAAAGTCAGGCAGGATTTAATATACAGCTTTATGGTTACTTTTGTTGTTTTGTCATTTCCTGCCTTTTATAACACATTAATTTGTGATGAAATTACAGTTTTTAGATGCACAGTCATCTACTGTTTAAAATATTTATAATTATAATAAACTAAAGAGTATTCACATTGCCTGGGGAAGTTAACTCAAGACAAGAACATATTTTATTGTATTTTTGTTGGTAAATAACGTTGTAACAATATTGTAACAAATTTTTTTGTTTCAGACATTAGACGGCTTCATTTTCGTGGTTGCTCCAGACGGGAAAATAATGTACATATCAGAAACGGCATCAGTCCACTTGGGCCTGTCGCAGGTTGGTTTACCAAACTTAATGTGACTTCCTCTGGTGTGTCGGGCCTCGTGTGTCACAGCTCTGACGCAAGTGTTCATTTCAACAGGTAGAGTTAACAGGAAACAGCATTTACGAATACATCCATCCAGCAGACCATGATGAAATGACAGCCGTCCTCACAGCCCACCAGCCTTACCATTCACACTTTGTCCAAGGTAATCAACAACACAAACATTGTACTGTGTATGATATGGAATCATCATGCAGCATGAATAACATTTCCTTTTGCTTGTTTTATTATTTCTCTGCAGAATATGAGATGGAGCGCTCGTTCTTTCTGAGAATGAAATGTGTCCTTGCTAAAAGAAATGCTGGTCTCACCTGTGGAGGCTACAAGGTAATAGGGATGTGCTGTTAGTCTATTTAATTTCAGAGCATGAATAATGAAATAATTTCGTTGTCAATGTTAACTGAAATCATTTAATGAATTAAAAATATATATCTAAAATACAAATATATTTTCTGTTAATTACATTTTTATTTATGTGATTTGTTTTGGTTGATATATTTTAGGATACAAACAATAAAGTAATAAAGTAAAACCAGAGTAAATTTTTCTATTCTCTGTGTTGTACCAGTGCTTATTACAATGTAGAGAGTCATAGGATTATCAAAATCCAGAGAGTTTGTGTTCAGCCTCTTTGTTTCTGAATGAAACATTTCCTGGCAAATATATTATTATTATTATTTATTGTCTTGTGTGCAAATTTGGTCCTGAAGGGTAAAAAGGGTCTTAAATGGTGAGGGATCGTTCTCTAGGAAAGATTTTATTTTCTCCTTTGAAAGAAGTTGAGCTCTTGGTCTCATTAAGCCACGAGTGTGAAATGTCATGTGACCAGATTCATCAGGGTTTATCCTCTGAAGACCATGAGTATAATGGCAAACTTTGTGTCAGTCTGGTCAGTGTGTTGCTTTGGCTCAAAGTATCTGATCGATACTGTTGTCAACAGCCATGGACACTAGAGGAGATTAAGGTGATTGTTGATAATGGAATAAATAGTTGGTGAACAACTCACCACTTGTTTGTTCTGGAGCTTCAGCAGCAGATGAAGTTTGCTGCATTGTCTGAACTGCAGACGTTCAAACTTTCCATTTATTTGAGCTCTTGCAGGAACTCTCATTCACGTTGGCTTGAAAAGTGATCAGATTGTTTTGTCAGCTGTAGCATATACAGTATATTGTGTGAGGCCGTGTTTCATTTTCCAAAAGAGAAAAATTACCAACACATGTATCTTATTCCCAATTAATCTTTTTTTATACTTGACAACATTTTGAGCACAAATAGTTGCAATTTGTACAATGATGAGTGGACATTGACGCTAACGAATTTTCCCACAGGGAATCACAACAAGAGACAGGTTATTATCTGGGTTTAATGCCTGTTAAAAAAACATGTATTATATGTTTGGTTTCTAAAGGCTCTAATTTCTAGAGCCTATGGTCTAAAGCTTGTGGTGCAAGTCGTTGAGGACATGTCCAAATTAGCTTTTGCTGGTTTGCCTGGGGCAGATTGCTTTATAAGGGTTGTTTAGCTTGGTAGTAAGAGAACAGTTCTCTGCAGAGGAATCTGTTTTATTTTGCTCACTGTCTTGCAGTTCATGTAGAGGCCTGTGTTTTTTCCTGAGCCTTCTGCATTGCTACCCCTGCTAACCTCGAAATTGTTGACAAGCAGAAAGTTTGTATGACCATGTATGAACTGATATTTATACTTCACGTATCTTTCTATCCGATGTAACTCTGCCCAGGTGATCCACTGTAGTGGCTACCTGAAGATCCGTCAGTACAGCCTGGACATGTCTCCGTTTGACGGCTGCTATCAGAACGTCGGGCTGGTGGCGGTCGGTCACTCGTTGCCGCCGAGCGCAGTCACTGAGATCAAACTGCACAGCAACATGTTCATGTTTAGAGCGAGCCTGGACATGAAGCTCATCTTCCTCGACTCACGGTACGTTCTGTAAGACAATGTTCTGTACTCGCTTATGGGGTTGTATGTGAGTGATTGTAAATGTGAGGAGACTTAATGACCCCTGAGAATGTGTGTGTGTGTGTGTGTGTGTGTGTTGCTCAGGGTTGCAGAGCTGACAGGTTACGAGCCTCAGGATCTAATAGAGAAGACGCTCTATCACCACGTCCACAGCTGTGACTCCTTCCACCTACGCTGTGCTCATCACTTGTGTGAGTAAGGTTTGTTTTACCTTCCTACAAATTCTCCCTCCCTCTCCACACACACGCGCACACACACACACACACACAGACAGTACTTCAGGCAATATTATGTTATGATATTATACATTTTGGCATTCCTTAAATGGTTCATTTTAGTGTTTATAAATAAATAACTACTCATGTTTAAAATAATCTAGTGTCATTAAGATATTATTTACAGTAAGATAATATGAAGTAAATTGATTGCAGTCTTTCAATATTAGATTTATCAGACTTTAATCACTATTTACTATAATTTGATATTGTTTGCTGTCATTTATATAGTTTGAATTTTCCTCACAGTAATCATTTGTTGTTATTTCTTTCCCCCTCTGTTGATCTTGCAGTGTTGGTGAAAGGTCAGGTTACCACTAAGTATTACCGCTTCTTGGCCAAGCAAGGTGGCTGGGTCTGGGTTCAGAGTTATGCAACCATTGTGCACAATAGCCGCTCGTCCCGACCTCACTGCATCGTCAGTGTCAACTATGTTCTCACGTGAGTATCTGTGTCTCCTCTTAGCTGCTGCTCGATTTACCTCTGTGAAACCAGTGATGATTCTGACCTCAGACCGAGACAGACTTGCTTGTTGATATATTTATGTGTTGGTGGTAAGTGGTCATTGCTGTGGTGTTACTGTGCAGAAGCATGTGGTCAAGACTGTGACATGCTTTTTCTTAGATTTTCTGTATAGTTCATACTTCATTTGTCAACAACAGTTACTGTTGCTGCTTCTTTTAAGTACCAGTGTGTGACAGAAGTAGCTGTGAAACCCAGTTTAAAACTAAATGGACAGATTTATCCATAATGACTTAACTTTGTTGCTTTTACTTGTACTGTAATGTAGTTATTATTACATAGAATTGATTGGATTAATTCAAAATTATGTTTATGCACAATGTTTACTGTCAAAGAGCGTACCATAGATATAAGCTGGCTGCTGTTCCAAAACAGTGACATGAGCTGCTTTCAGACATACACTAAACCCTGGATAATCTCTAGACATTCTCTGGAGGGGCTGTATGTGAGAACGCAAAACTCCAGAGATTGTCCGAATGAGCCGATGATAGAACTGCGAGTGGGTGTGCTGTTGATGTTTCAGATGCAAGAAAAAAAAAAAGCTAATATCTCAGGATGAACATGTGGTGCCATACACGTCGAGGAATAAATACGTCACATCCTTCCTCTGCCTGCTGAACCACCCCTCACCTGAACGCTCAGGTTTTCCAGTGTGCAGACATTCTCCTGAGTTCTGAAAATGGCTATGAATAGTTACACTGTACTGTGTCCACACACTGCAGTTTATGAGACTGACATGTCTCCTCGTATCTTTGACTACCTGCTGACTTCAGTGAATTTAATGGTCAAAAGACCTCTGCATGCTTATCCGACCGCTGGGCTGATTAAAAACATTGTTTGTGGTTATAAGAGGTAAAATTAAAGGAGTTGGTTGCTCAGTGTGTGAACCTTGAACAGCTCTCTGCAGATCTCAGGCCGAGTCAGGAAGCACAAAAAGGAGAGGGTGATGAACCTGAACCTGAACCTCACTGCTCAACCTGAGTGGATTTCTGTTCTCTACTTAGCTGAAGCATGTGGTGCTGACAGTCCTGAGCTGTGTGGGATAACTTGTGTGTTTTGAAAGTAGGCTTGCAGGAGGTGCACATCTTTTATTATTAATGCTCAACTATCTTGCATACAGAGTCCTAAACATTCTGCTGTTTTAGTATCAAGATTTATTTCCACTCACTTACAAAGTCAGGGTTACAGGGTTATAAAGATATGTCTAAAAAAAAATCTTACATCAGCAACAGTTAATTGTCCATTTCGCTTATTCATGCATTTTATTACTCAGATACAAACAATAAAGAATAAATCTGGTGATAGGATCAAAAAATTACAAGGAGCTCACTTTGCACAGTCTGAATCACATTTTTATATTCATTGTTGATACAGAGAAGCAAAACTGAACATGTATTTCTATGTCAATGGTTTGGATTACAGCTTTGTAGCACGTCTGTGGATCAGATTTGTATCTGTACATTGGGACTGGAGTGTGATACGACTCCAGTGTCTGCAGAGAGGAGCGATTCAGATCTCTGTTGTGCTGTCATTCTCTGCTCTGATAAGATAATGAGTATTGATACTAGGCATTTACACAAACAGTCTCCGTGAAGCAATTAACTGGAGGTTAATTAGAAATATGACATGTAGTTGTTGAAGGCAGGTTTTGCAAAAACTTTGTCAACTCACCTTCAGTCTTCATTGATGTAGACTGAGTTACAAACAAAGGGAATAGTGAGTGATTATGAATAATTATTTTAGGGAAACCACAGCTCTCCTCTCTTTTCTACCTTTGATGCTATGAGAGGTTCCTCTTCTATCACCCTGTTGTGTAGCTTTGTTACTAAGTTTGCTCAGAGTGCTCATGTGTTGGTTGTTACCTGTGGCGGCCTCTCTGTGCTGGCGTCAGTCATCTGGTAGAGTTTATCCAAGACTGGCAGCTCTGCTTGCAGAGTATATAAACAGAAACTGAGGCTACACTCAGAGGCTTCATTCTTCATCCTGCATCAACTGTCCAACAGCTCCGTAATACAAACTGCAATAAAATCAAACTGTAATCATGGCAGCGACTCTACATGCAGGAGCCACAATCATATTAGTAAGAGAGGGCCAACATTTACTTGGCTATTATGCCGTTATTTTATTGCCGCTAATGTGTGTAGTTCACAGATGTACAAGTGAGTGTGTGAAGGAATACAGCCTATAAAACCCTCCACTGAGCAGCGCGGCTGGCTGCATTTAAAGGCAGAGAACAGCTTGACACACATTTCCTCTACCTCCTACATCAAATCCATAACAGCTCTGTGTTTATGGCCTTTTAATTGATAGGCTGTAAACTTGATGAGTGTTTATGGGCTCCAGCTTTCTGTCAGGGGAATGAAGCCTTATTTTCCTCCTACTCTCCTAATTGGAGATGCTGTATGGACTGAGCCACGCAGTGATGGTGGAAATAAGGGAGTATGTTTCTTTTTTTTGCATAATACGTGAGACAGAATACAGTCGGAGGGAAAGTGTTGTGTGGGGTTAGCAGAGGAGGTTTGCCCGGCAGCTTTAGTGTGTACAGCCGTTGATAACACAGGTGATAAAGGCACTTCACCTGCATGTGAACCCCCACTGTGTGTTCAGCTCTGATAACCTCAGCACCTCCTGCCCCGGGTCTGTGGACCTGCCACTGCTACCACAGCCTGGCAGTGATTTAGCAACTCGTGGGGTAAAGGCATGTGTGCAGCAGAGGCACGTGACCATGTTTCATTTCACTCTCTCAACAATTACACTATGTGTTTAATCAGTGCTGCTGGATTCTATTCTCTGCTGTCTCACACACACACACACACACACACACACACGAGATTGCACTCTGTTCAAGTGAACACAATGTAAAACACATTTATTAATAAATCAATATTTTGACACATTTCGTGAGCTGAACAATGTTTTTAAACAGTGACTTTGTTGACTTCATATCTAAATCTGAGAGTTGTGATGCTCTTAGTTTAAGACAGAGGAAATCAGAAGAGTTTTAATTAATATGATAACAAAGCCATGAGACGGGGGGCATGCATGCCTTATAATTTACCAGTAACCAAAGATAATAATCTACAGATCTTTTGGGCTCTGTCTGAAGTGGTCACCAGGTGTCTGAGATCAATGTAAAACATGTGAAAGCTTGTTGATTGACAGACAATTCATGAGCAAGATAATTACTCAGTTGCTTCAGTCATTTTTCTCTAAATGCTGAGGAGAGGTGCTGCTGTGCTTCCTTCTTCCTAGGTTACAGTGGATATA